ACGAATCTCGTTAAAACGAACTAAACCCGAAACTTTTTAGTTTTTGGTCTAGTGTTAGTTCTAGTTTTAATTCAATGAAAAATATACAACAATTGATACTGAATAACAACTAAAGCCAGAACTAACACTAAACCTAGAACTAGAAAGAAACATTCGGGTTTACCCCTACGTCTCTTAAAGGCGGCTAAACTCGAATGTTTCTAGTTCTAGGTCTAGTGTTAGTTCTAATACTAGGGTTAGTTCTTGTTTTAATTGTTATTCAGTATCGATTGTTGTATATTTTTCATAGAATTAAAACCAGAAGTAACACTAGACCCAGAACTAGAAAGTTTCTGAAGACGCACGGCTAAACCCGAAAATTTCTAGTTCTGGGTCTAGTGTTAGTTCTAGTTTTAGTTGTTATTCAGTGCTTATTTTATTTTTTGATTTCTATCGAAACCCACTTAGAACACAATAAAATGTGTACATATAAATACGAAGGGGAAATTCTCATAGCTTCTCTTAGATCTTTAGATCTTACAAAAGATCGTTTCGGACGCGGACATATGTCTAGCAGAGCACATAGTGAGACCTGAGTAGTATTTTTGCGGTTAGGCATTTTGGCAATGTTCCAAATTCATTCCAACGAATTTAAAAACGTTTCTCGTCCAGTCGTGTCGGCGGTCTTTCCACCGGGCGGCGATCCTACTCATTCCCACCACCTTCCTTATTGCTTGCTACTGGTGCTGTGGCACCGTCAAGTCTGCCAACGACACCAAACCGTTCTTATTATTATTGCCGGGTTACATAATCCTTTCACGGTAATTCAAACTATCTAACTAAACCAACCTTGAAAATGAAATAGACTAATAATAAGTATATAGGTAATTAAAATTTCTTTAGTTATTTTAAAAAGCTTTTTTTCTTAGCGTTTGTTACAATTTTTTTTGTAACATCTGGAAGAAGTTATGAAAGGACATTCCTGGACGACGGGTTCTGTCTTCGTCTATAACGACATATACGTGACGTTACAAACGGTTTCCAAAACAGGCACTAACCCCCCTCAATACCCACAAAAAAAGAAAAACGTATTTGTAAGGAGCATATAGGGCTCTGGCAAGAGTAGGTAGGTAGGTAACCGTTTGGGACCCTGTTTACGTTCAAAATTCATAAATTCATCATACAGCGTCGACCGTGTTTAACAGAGACTTGGCTCTTGTTTCCAGGACACACCATAAAAATATACATAGACTCGAAACTTCGTGGTTTTGTTTGATGTTACTCTCACAGGGTGGGTGAACACATCTTCTTCGTGTTCCCTTTACAAATTTTTTTTAGGTGTATTTATTTACGTGTGTCAAACTAAACAAGGTCAAAAAAAAAACGAATAAGATAATTAAATTGTTCAATAAAAAAGAAAGGAAGTTGTAAAATTGTATCCTAATAAGTACGGTTGTAATATCTATAAATAGATTTTAAATTACCAAGTTTAACTTGGAAAACAAATTAATTATTGGACATGAGAACAAAAACAGTCATTTCGACCTGTATAAAGAAATGTCGCCCGATGATTTTCGCGGCAAGGTTACAAAATAACAAAAATAACAGTAAAGGTTCATCGATCAACGTCGAGATGGCGATTATATTTTACACGAAGCCGCTTTTGCTTAAGATAAAAATCATTGTAACATGCTGAGATGATGCATTAAATTCTACAAGATCTACTACTCTAAGACATTTATCTCTTCAGAAGTTTGATGTTTGAGTGTTGATGTACAAATCATTTTAATTTTAATATAAGAGATGCTCCAAATCTTCAACACACTTTGTTTTTACCCATCTGTTTCCCATAACAATTTTAGAAACATTCGTTACCATTTTGATTATAAATTAATCTAGTTTTACGATTTATGAACGCTTTTATTATGCTTTTATGAAGTTATATGGGATTTATTGAACATTTTATGGCACCAATATCGTAACAATAATTCACATAAAAATTTCTAATACCGTTAAATGCAGAGATTGATGTGGTTAACCAAAATCTATGTTTATTGGAACTTTTTGCTTTCGTATTTTTATCGTTTATGTATTCGAAAATTTAAGCTCTTCTTTTGGGAATGAGACTACAATAACGGAATCTTCTAACTCTAGGTTCAAAAATTTCCTGTTTTAGATTAATAGATATTTCCTTCGTTCATTATTTCAATGTGCAGAATTCAATCTATGTATGCAGAGATGTCAATGGGTTAATGATGCAGCTTGGTGTTTGACATAAAACATAGGAACGGTGACTATTTATTAATTCTAGTAAAATCAGGTTTGATGCAACACATTCCCAACGGTGCCGTGGGTTTATTCAATAAACTTGAAAGAATCGTATGAAACCATAGCTTTGCTGCTAAAGGTAATCAAATGAGACCATAAATAAATGGCATCTTTGTTGTATTTTAAAAATTGTACACAGCTTAAAACACTGTAATAATATCGATGGCTTTTGAATATTATTCCATAATATACTGCTAGAAAAGGAGCTTACAATATGTACTTTTTTAGCATAATTATGCTTATGTGAGTTTTTTTAAAACACCTTAAAAACATCAACAAATTAGTAAAATTGCCGCATATCTTCTTTGCTGTAAGTGCAAAATTGTCAGTTTGGTGTCCGCTTTAAAGGTTAAGACAGTTAATAAACTTTTTTGTGCTGTTTGCGCTTTCCACAAATAGTAGGAGTAATCTAGAGATAGTACTGATGCAAGAAAGAATGCAACAGACCAAATCTTAGATGATAGCAGTTAGAAATACCATCTGAGATGATTCATCCATCGTAACGGGTAAAAATAGTTAAGGTTCATCTTCAAGTTTACTTTAGAAATGAAGGTGCTGTTAAAACACCATCTCCCTCTATGATTCTCGGAAATCTGTGTTCTGGTATCTGATTATGTCCCGTACTCTACATTTTTCCGCATATCTTCGCTTCTTATGCAATCTACTAATCACTAGCCAGCAGAGTTTTTGTTGAGATTTCATCTCTATAGTGCTGAGAAGCTGATAATTTAAGGTTTAAATTTAAATTAATTATTTATCAGTCAGAAAAAGTTAACAAAACTTAGTAAAAATTACTCTGAGGTAAGTTACTACCTAGAGAGACCTAAGAGACTATTATAATGTATACAACAATTTAAAAGAACATGATCATGTTCCAGTTCTTGTACTCATTTTACCAATTCTGCAGATTTCTATACTACATATATCAATTATTTAGATCTATATTAAAGCCTTCGGCTGTATGAATACCAACATTCTTCAGGTTATATTGAATTAGTTATTATGATACGCCGTATTTGTATGTGTTCATTTGCTGCTTACGACATTTTCTCGAGTAAATTTTTTGTACGCATATTTATTTATTTACTTATTACGTATCTTCAGTTGCGTAAATATGATCTTGCATAATTTTTAACCTTTCCTTTGAAACTAGCTCCATACCCCTTAACTTTCAGCAGTTTAGCGCAACCCCCCTAGGTTTAACCACATCCTCAGACATTTCATCAAAGCAACCTAAGAGTCTCCGTCTAAGTACATCTGCGAATTCTAGGCTGTTTCTCACATTTCCCGGATGACACAGTTAATGGGGCATATGTTGTGGGCATACTCTTACCCCTCGACGAACTCTTACAGAATAAATTAGCCGTTTACCACAGATACGTTTCTGCAACATAGCGTCCCATACGCACGAACCAAAGGATCAGATAGTTATAGTCCAATTCAGTCCTATGAGTCAGCGACATGTGGTTTGCAACAGGATAAATGTAGCCCCTTCTCACTCCTCGTGATTTACACTACTTTGTTTTTTATTCAAAACAAATGTACCATTAAGTGAGGTTGACTTAAATACGATAGGCTATGTAGGATGGATATAGTGTAGGCCGTAGTATCAGCTCGAGCATCAGTGTCGCCGATAGAGTTAGATATTATATCCGGTCTTGATTAAATTACAAAATAAGAGAGACAATCTGAAGGCAAAATATATGAATGCAAAAAAGTTATAATCAATAATAACTCGTTGATGGTACGTTATATCTTAATGTATTTGTAGTTGCGACAATGTTGCAATAAAAAACATTTAAAACAAATTTTATGAAAATTTAATCAACCCTTAAACTTAAGTTAAAAAATATTTAATCACGTTAACACTTTTTGAATAATCTTTTCTAGGGTATGCATAAAATTAGAAAAAACAAATTTGGAGTATTTATTTGGAGTTTTCTAACAATTTTAATGATGACTGTTTTCATCATTTTTGATGTCTCGTTTACTTTAAAAATTTTGAGAAATTATCTTAATCTTTACATCGTTTAAGGTAATTTTAGCAATTATTTAGAATTTTCTACCAACTTTAATTCACCGTTAACCGGTTACAGCATACCACTTTTTCTATTTTTTTAGGATAAACAATTTTATCAGTACTTAAAAAAATCATAATGAATCGTTATAATATTATCAGTATTTGTAAATAAAAGCACAAGCTTTCCAATCAAAAAGGCCGTTTTTCAAACAAATTTAAGATTTTGAGATATCAATTTTTCTAACACAATAATGCAAGATTCAACACATTTTTTTTCAGGCATTATCAAATACCGTAATAAATCGGAGTTTCATTACCTATTCAATGAAGAAGTTTTTCAGTTTTTTTTTTGCTTCTGCAATCAAATAAAAAGATCCAACCGAACTCCTTCTGTTAGATATTGTTTGCATGAAGGCGAATAAATATTTGCATGATATTGCAAAAATCCAACTTCAAAAAATTCTGCTTATCAATTTTTAGATTTGAGTTGAAATTTCGATGTAATTCGCTTAAGTGGATAATAATAACTTAGTATAATTTGATAATTTGAATACTTTTAAATTAAATAGTATACTTAGTAAAATCTTTAAAATATGTTTTCCATTATCAAAGGAAGTTTGCATTTCTAATTTTCCAAACTTATCATTAACATTACATTTCAAAATGTCCTTACCTTTACATTCATTAGCATCTCTAGCAGTGGCACGTCCCCATGGCCTATCAAAATGGAACGCCTTACATCTTTCACAATCCCTCCCGGCGGTATTATGCTTGCAATCACAGCTCAACTGGTTGTCTTTGCCCACAATACACCTACTAGCATGCCCGTTGCATTTACATCTTCCTCCAACAGCAAAATCAGCCACCGCGTACTGATGGGTTACTTGTACAGGATGATATGTACTAATACCATTAGTTTCGACAACAACTGGTTTAATATCATCGGTTTCCATCACTTGCATTTCATTTAAAGGTATGGGACCTTTAGTTTGATCTTCGATGTCATCTTCTTCTTCGTCTAAGTGATGTTGGTGACCTAGGGCTTTGTATGTTTTGTGTTCTTCGATCATGATGTCGTCGAATGAGGGTGGATCTTCTATGGGCATGTGGAGGCGGTTAAAAACTACTTTTATGTCTGTCGCTGTTACCCAGTCTTGAAGAACCGGGGAGTAATCGAAGTCGGAGGCCGATGGACGTCCTTCTAAAGTCGAAAAGGCTATTCTTGATATGTGACCGATGAATTCACCACCCGCATGACGATGAGCGTCGGTGCAACGAGCTTCTTGTTCGTTGGCTTTTGTAATGGTAGCGCGATTTGCTCTTCCGTAAACTCTTCGACACTGACTTGAATAAAATTGAAACGGTTGCCACGTTTTTCCGTAATCCATACTTTTAAAAATTGCTATTGAATCGGGTTTTGGTGTTTTGGGACAAAATTGTAAACTAACATAAGTTAATTCATACTTTTTACCAAGACTTAAAACCAATGTCACGTTATCAGGAGGTGAATTAATCGACGTAGCCGGTTGAAATGGATCCGATCGCCAACAAGTTGCGTTATTTGGATTGTTTAAATCGGTTAGAAACGTCGCGGGAAATCGATTCTTTGCATCCCGATCATCACATACATGACATTTCGGATTTTGGCTATTATTGTTTCCTTGATTTTCTGTATCCAATTCGCAATATTGCGTTGGCCCGTTCGAACCACAAGTTGAAGATGCCTTAACGGGTGCGTTAAAAGCAGCATTCACAAAATCCGGTATACACTTCTTCGGGCGATCGTCGTCGTAACACGGGTCCTTCGGCGGCGGTTGACTGAACATTTTCATAAAATAATCAGAACCGGCCTTCGCTGTACCAAGAGCAACCACGAGCAAAAGTAAAACACGCATTTTCAAAAAAAATAACACCTCTCAGTTTTATATTCTTTAAATGTTATTTTTAATTAGGTTTTTCGATAAAGAAGAAATTGCCTTTTTTTTATTGCCACATTTCAAAACTTATAGGAAGAGAGCTTTAATTTATTGAGACTCAAGCTGCGCGCGCGAGAGAGTTTCTGTTCAAGAGAGCAACTTCTGCAACGATCCAACGCGTACCACTGTCGAACGTAGACTGGCGGACGACCGTCTGTTTATTCAGAAGGTACAACTTCGGACCGCCCTCTGAGGCCGAGTTTAGAGACCAATCAGTTTTATCTTAACATGAAAACAAGGAATTATTTATTTTTTTATAATTATCATTTGTATCCCGAAAACGAAACGGTTAAAAAATTACTCGAAAAATAAATTTTAATTGATCAAAAATGTCCAACACTTAAGATACGCTAAGATTTAAATTTATAATACGGAACTGATGTTGTCAGAGGACATATGGGTACTAACCTGTCTCAACGATGCCGGATTAATTAACGTGCGTAAGCTAATTACGGTAATTACCCGAATAGTTGGTTCATTGTCCAGAGAAGTGCGCGCCACCCGGTTAATTCGGAACATTTTAATTGTTGGCGAAGAGAGAAGAGTTCGCGATCCCATTCTAGTCTTGAACGATCTATTTTAATTCCTTACAGTTGCCATTCTAGTTTATATTTAGATCGGTATTCGTACTCGTATTCTTTTCGCGAAACGGTTCAAAGTAAAAATATTTTACAAAAAAAAAACCATTATTTATAGAATTTGCAAACTCTAAACATTATGTAACAATAATGAGAAATCATTTTCCTGCGAAAAATTTTTCAAATTGAGAAAATTTGAACACTAATTTCATTGACCATTTAATACTGCCGGACACTTATTATTATTTTTTATTCAAAAAGGTACAAACAGAGTACAATACATCGTCACAAATCAAAGAAAAGTTTATAAAAAAATCATTAAAAGAACAAAATTCTCCTTCCTGTAAAATTTCTTTCACCGTGACTCTGAATTGTAATTCATTATACAGGAGGATGTTTCATAAATATATACGCAGGACTTTAGGATGTGATAGCTTGTCCAAAAATTTGAAAAAAAATTCCAAAAAAGGGTATTGAAATTTAATAAAAAAAATTGAGAATATCTCCAGAACCGTTTATCGTACAGAAAACAGCTTTTGTAAGCATTTTCTACTCAAAATTTTGTGCGAGAAAAAATTTTTTTAAAGTTATAATTGGTGAAGTTTTTGAAGGGGTAGTGGTTGTTTTTCTCCCCAACTTCTACGCCACTGGAAAAAATACGGTTTTGAGACGCCCATTTGAACCGCCAATGTTTTTTACACAAAAAAAGTACTGAAGGTCATGAGCTCTAAAGTTGACAGTTTTCGAGAAAAATCAACTTTTATGTTGAATAACATGGTCAATTTTTTGAAAGAAAAACTTTATTTTACTAAAAAGTTAGAACAAGTAACAAAGGCAAACGTTAACTTCATAATTGCATAATTTAAAAAAAACAATTACAAATCATACACAGTTAAATCAAATGTTGGAAATGTCTGCCGTTTGAATGCACGCAGCAATTCTTCGGCGCATTGACTGTCTAACACGCAGGAAAATTCCCGGAGTGTTACGGATTCTCTTAATTGGTCAACATTTTCAACTAGAGTAGCGTAGACTAGAGCTTTCAGATGGCCCCAAAAGAAAAAATCTAAACAATTAAGTTCGGGAGATCGCGGTGGCCAAGGGTGCGGACCTCTTCGACCGATCCAACGGTCTGGGTATTCGTCGTCCAAGTATTGGCGAGCAACCAAAATAAAGTGGGCCGGAGCTCCATCATGCATAAAGTACATGTTTTGTCTTACTTGAAGCGGTACATCTTCCAGCAGTTTCGGCAGTACTTCTTCTAAAAATTGTCGATAATCTGTACCGTTTAATCTGTTCGGTAAAAAATGTGGGCCTATCAAATTATCACCGACGATGGCAGCCCAAATATTTACTGAAAATTGTTGCTGATGTTGGCCTTCTGCAATTTCATGTGGATTTTCTTCTGGACATATGTGGTTATTGTGAAAATTGAAAATACCATCCTTCGAGAAAGATGCTTCATCGGTAAACAGAACTTCGGCTCCAAACTCAGGATTTTGAGCTATTTTGTCTTGCATCCATGTACAAAAAGCCAATCTTGGCGGAAAATCTGTTGGCAATAAGACTTGTACTCTTTGGATATGGTAGGGATACAAAAGTTGCCTTTTCAAAATTCTCCAAATAGGCTTTTAGAGATAGGTTTTAGTTATGAGCAATTTTTCTGGTACTTGTGGTCGGATTTTCATCAATTTCGTTGAGGACAGCCCCTTCTACTTGGGGATTTGCAACTTCCAAAGGCTGCCTATTATCAGCAGTATTCCTTTTAAAACTTCCATTTTCCCATAGTCGTTGGTGAATGCGTAGAAACAAGTTATGGTGTGGTACTGGGCGATCAGGATGTCTTTCTTGATACAACCGCCTTGCTTCTGCCGGATCACCGCACGCCATTCCGTAAAGGTAATGCGTTTCGCAGATTTCAGTGTTTGTGTAATTCATTTTTAATTTTGTAATACAAGTTTACTTTTTGCAGGTACAAACTAATTGTTACTTTGACAGGAGGTAGCTTTTGTTATAAAATTTAAAGCGTATTATAAAGCGTGTTATAAAAATTAAATTTCACGGCTGTAAGATTGAAAGATTTTTATATTCTTGTTGTCCGATGGTCAAATCTCCTCTATGATGCATACTGTAACCATGCTTGTCCGAACTTATGGAAAATTCTTCTCGATATTTATGAAAGTATTTACCACAAGCAAGTATAAAACACGATGGTAAATTCATAATCTTTAATTCCTTGAATCGCGTTCTGCGAGTCTCGTTGGGACAGTCTCAATCATCGTCTTCCTTCGTAATTTGAAGATTTTCTTTGATTCAGTTGAAACACCCCATACCATTATACCGTATGTCGCAATGCTATGGAAATACGCAAAGTACACATTTCTTGCTTCTTTCAAAGGTAAGCTTTTAACTATAACTTTTAAACAGTACAAAGACCCAATCGCCAAGCCACTTTTTGTTTAGCTTTTTACATGATCCGGCCAAGTGAGAGTTTCATTCAGTGTAACACCATTAAGCAAGCTTACAGCCTGGGTACGTACTATACTGTAGTCCAGGCGGAAGTATTTGCTATTGACATGGGTACTAAAATTCTTCTTGAGGGAGAGGTGAAGGACATGACAGTACGAGTTTTCTCAGACAGTCAAGCTGCTCTCCAGTCGCGGCATGCTTTGAAAACAGTGTCGGCTCTGGTTAATTCCTGTAAAAGAACCTTAAATACAGTGCGTTGTAATAACAGAGTTTCTCTGATCTGGGTGTCAAGTCACTTTGGGGTTGCTGGCAATGAAGCGGCAGATGAGCTAGCACGAGAGGGTAACGTTAAGCATTTGTAGTATATCATTTCCGATGGCCGCCAAACATAGGATAGAACTGTGGGCTGAAGAGAGATTTCGCCCACTGTGGACCAGTTCTCTTTGAATTAGACACGCTAAGTTGTTTATTAACATCGCCACTGTCAAACCTGGAAATATTTTATGACTTGCTCATGGAAGTATTAAACTTCTAATGGGTGTCTTTACTGGGCACTGTCAATTAAAGACACACCTCAACTTGTTGGGCCTAGCCGACGATGTTGAATGCCGACTATGCGCGGAGGACGAGGAGACGATGTTTAATGCCACTGCCCTGCTGTTAATTGTATCACATTGTCGAATTTTGGGTCGCAGTTCTCCCAGAACCAAATATATAGTTGATGGATTTAAATCGACCAATGATGGCAACACAATTTTCAAATTTTTGCTAGTGATAATAAATCAGGTGCCGTATTCAGTCTGATATAGGATGAAACAGAATATTGATCTATACGTTAGATATTCGCAGAAAAAAACTGAATTAATCAAAGTGTTACGGTGTTTCACTTTGAAGTTTCTAGATTAATAATGATAGGGAATTCTAAGATAGAATCAATTGATGTAATAATAGTTTTAAATGGTCCTAATGATAACGCCGAGCTGCCCTACTCCCACGCGTTTCTACAGAGATGATTTATTGAGAGTAAACTTTTTCACTACAATCCTGACTTTCCAGATACCTTCTTTACCAATGAAGTACATTTCAACTTATCAAGTAGTCTACAATCACCACAACCATCATTATTGGCAGTATGAGAATCCTCATATTTTATGTCATCTCCGTCTTGATCCTTGTACGTTTGGTTGTAAATATTTAGAGGACAGATCACAAGTCTCTATTTTCTGATAAGAATATTGAATGGCGAAACAAGCTGTAATTTTTGAGAGAACACTTTGCCAGATCTTTTAGAGGACATTTCTTTACAACAGCATACAACAAAGCTTTTTTTCCACATGATGGCGTGTCTGCATAAGCTGCAATTACAACAATTTGTGGAATCGTATTTATGTCCTAAACATCATATTAGTGTGATGATTGTAACGTGTTTGAAGATTTTGCGATCCAGTACATGAATGTTCACAATCTTTTTCTTCTATAGTACCTGTCAAGGTCAAATTTTAGGGTTTATGTTGATATTACCTACACTCCGTACAGAGTTTATGTTGTTTTTCTGATAATTAGTAACATTTTCAGTATCTTCTAATAACGTGCGCTTTTTTCTTACTTTTATTCAGAATCATTAAACTTAATTTTGTTTATGGAAAATATACTTAATTTTCTTCTTTCTGAATAACGAAAGTTCAAACATCAGCATGACTCAAATTGATTTCAAAACATAATACATATAACTTTACAACAATTTAACAAGTTATTATAGAAAAAATACAAAGTGTATCTTAAACTTACAGATTTATCAAATTGAGAAAATTTATAATACTAAATTTCATTGACGATTTAATTATCTTATAACGTTTCTATTCAGCAGTTGGATTATTTATGTAATCCGCAATCAAACTCGTTGTGGGAAGTTGACATTAAAAAAATGTCATGTCCTTAACATATTTTTAATGAAAATATACAACATTTTGCTGAACTATTTAAAATCTGTAATTTAAACTAAATTCATCTATAAATCATTAAATCCAAAGTAAATAAGCAGATTCAAAATATTTCGAGATCGAGAATTGTCTTGAATTATTTAAGTAA